TTTGTTATTTGATCTTAAGCTATAAGAAGAGTTTGTTTTAAAAGTTATAAGTTCAGTTATATAATTAGGGGCAGTTCCATGAATTGCCTTAAACGTAAATGTAATTATCTTATATTCAATTCGATATTTGACTGGCAACCAGTGTAACTCATACAACAGCGGAGTAATATGGCTAAACCGTGGTGCACGGTAGAGAATCCTTGCGGCAGCATTCTGAACACGTTGTAATTTGGCTATAGCATTGCAACAAAAGGCGTTTTATAACTTAGGCTATAGCAACAAAAGGCGTTTTATAACGTTTTATAACAAAAGGCGTTTTATAACGTAGGCTATAGCAACAAAAGGCGTTTTAACTTTTCCTTCTATCATTTATTAAATAAAAAGTATTTTAGACCAATTCCGTCACCATTATCGAAAATAGTTTGTATTTGAAATATATTTGTAGTTTTGGCTTTTGTTTATAATATGCATTTCGCTGGTAATTAAAAGTTGTCGATTTCAATGTTTCTTTTAATATCCGGTTTCTATAACTGATTCAATGTAAATAACACGGCGCTTTCGTTTTTGGCATGATTTTTCTATATTCTCTTTAACCATGTCTGGCAAATGTGGGGTTTTTTTTAAGTAAGAAGGATCCAAAACAATGTAGAGACTGTCGAGGACTGACTACTGAGTGAGATGTTTCGGCTTTCTTCATGCAATAATAATGTGCGGGGACACCTCGAAAGCTTGCCGCACATTTCCAGAGAAATCGTTTCTGAAGTTGAACTGTTTCGCGTTATATGGCACAGGACTTTCGCCTCCCAGGAGATTCGCCCCCCCTCTCAAAATGGGGGCAATATCCTAGGAATATCGTCCCCCCTTTAGGAATTTCGCCCCCCCTCCCCCTAAATATTTTGAATTTTTTATCTAAAAACAAAACGATTGCAAGTTGAAAAGATTTATTGTGTGTGATTCATTTATTTTAGCAGTATTAACAATAGCCGCCACAGTAATCACTTGTTAACAATAAACTATAGGATTAATAAAAAATATGTGAAATGTGTTGCGAAGCGTATTGTCCATTGAGTCGTTATTTCAAGCTCGATCTGTCTTAACAATTTTGAATTGATGCTGATTTCAAATGACTAAACCTTTGTAATAATTATCCTATGCAACTGTTAGGAAGGGCAAAATTTTTAATGGAGGACGAAAATCCTAAAGGAAAGGTGATGTTTCTAAAGGGGGGGCGAATTTCCTAGGAATTTCGCCCCTCGGGAGGGCGATATTCTGGGGGGGGGGCGAAATTCCTGGGACACCGGATAACCGCATCCGTATACAGGCCCAAAATCTTGCTCCGAGAAGTACAAATACCCCACATACTGTTTTTTTCACATCTTTGCACATTTTCAAGATAATAAGTAATAACATCTCTTCCTTTTACGGATTTTAGGGTCCTGTGTGGGTTGGGTGATATATAAAACGAAATCAGTTCAACTTCAGAAACGATTTCTCCGGAAATGTGCAAGCTTTCGTGGTGTTCCAGCACATTATCATTGCATGAAGAAAGCCGAAACATCTCACTCAGTCCTCGACAGTCTCTACATTGTTTTGGATCCTTCTTACTTAAAAAAAAACATTTGCCAGACATGGTTAAAGAGAATAAAGAAAAACCATGCCAAAAAACGAAGGCGTCATGTTACTTACATTGAATCAGTTATAGAAACTGGATATTAAAAGAAACATTGAAATCGACAAAAAATCGACAACTTTTAATTATCAGCGAAATTAAATGCATATTATAAACAAAAGCCAAAACTACAAGTTTCAAATACAAACTATTTTCCGATAATGGTGACGGAATTAGTCTAAAATACTTTTTATTTAATAAATAATAGAAGGAAAAGTTATAAAATGCCTTATTTAAACACAAACATTATTGATTTATTGCGTGTATTTATTTATTTTACAGTAGAGCTGTTAAAAAGAGATGTATTGTCGCCTAATCGCGTTTGTATGGAAAAATATCTATCTCCAGTTTACAAAATTCTGTAATACAAAGGGAAATTTTAACAAAATGGACTATCATTGTTCTCCAATAAACCTAAGACGGGCATTAACAAGAAATAGTGGCTAGGACACTATCTCATAAATGTTAGCCCGCCCATGCATAGGGGAGGATTTGCCTCATAAAGACTCCTTCCTTTGTCGCGGGAAATGAGTTTGACCAAAACTTTTCCCATTTGATATGAATAACTTAGTTATTCATCTACATGTTTTAATATGATTTACAAACTCATCAGACCATATTCTTTTGTATTTCGTCGGTTTTTAACTCCTCCGTAATAACCTTCATTCTAAAAGCAGGCGGTGGTATTTGATTTCTCCGGGGGAAATACGGGGTTGAAGGTTATTACGGAAAAATAATAACCGGGTAGCAGGTTATTACGGAAAAATAATAACCGGGTAGCGGGAGGTTATTACGGAAAAATAATAACCTGCTAGTCTGCTACCAGGTTATTATTTTTCCGTAATAACCTGCTACCCGGTTATTACGAAAAAATAATAACCAGTTAACTGGTTTTACATTTTCAATTCAAGACCTGGCATGAATCTTGAATTCGGGACTTGAATGTGCAGGAAAACTCAGGACCCACATCTCCTTTTCGACTAGAAAACGTTGCAACGTCTCTAAAGTCGAGAAAGCGACAACAGCCGTGTACCTCAGAGCCCGTCAAAACTCTACCATTAGGTAAGAGTATCTATCATTCGGCGCACGAGGACTAGCTGGATCAGCCATCAAACATGCTTGTGCAGGGAATTTATACAGTAATATCTGCTCTTTTGCTTGTGGGACGTGAAATGATATACTGCGCATGCTTAACCACATTTTAAATCGTGTTAATGCGCATGTTACACCTAGTTATTTCGTCCCACAACTGCAGCGACCTCTCATTGAATTAATATAGCTTGAATTTTTAATGAAGAAAACCTCCAAAATTCAAAAGAATATGGTCTGATGAGTATATAAACAAGTTAAAAGCCGCGGGTATCGGTTTTTATTAAACTGTAAAGACCTCGGGCCCTCGGTCTTCACAGTTTAATAAAAACCTCTCCCTTGGCTTTTAACCTATATTTAAATTTCATAAGCAATCCACTTTTTTACTACGACTTGTGGAATCCATCAGGTTTTCGATCATCAATGACGGACTCCAATGGAGCAATTTTTACTGCCACTAAAATCGCCCGTCCCTAATAGATATTTGGCTTATTATTACTTTCGTGAAAAGAACATACATTATTCAATAAAAAAACACGGATACATGTTCTGTAGATCCTCACACGACTTCGGTGCAAAGTTGCAAATCAGGAAAAATGCAAATATCGGTCCTAATCATAAGCGCCATTTTGGATTCCTGAGCATGTCTAGTATATTTGAGGATAAACAAAAAATAAGACAATTTTCAAGAAATGATTGTTTAAACAAGAATCAGGATACATCAAGGAAGTTATTGATATATTATGAAGCCAAACGAAAATTGAGTTAGAATTCCCTGGACCGTTCTTGCAGACAATGCCTCTTAAATTTGTCCACTCTTTCAAATAGTTCATCACCGATATAAACAGGAGGAGGTTCCAATACTGATTCCGTGAAGCATATCCACATGTCCTTTGTTTTTTTGACGTTGATAGTCATTTTGTTCGACACTGACCAATTTTGGATAATGTCTAGAGCCTGTTGGACATGGCTTATTTCCCCGGCTCCAACTGCTTGATCGAGTGTGCAGTCATCGGCATACTTCGAGGTATCGACGGTTAGGTTTGCAGGGATTTCATCCTCTAAATCATCGATGTATACATTAAATAGAATAGGAGAGATGACCGAGCCTTGCGGAACTCCAGATGGGCATGGAGCGGATGATGACAACATTTGAAGTAGCTTTACGTGTTGACTTCTCATGGATTGGAAATCTCGGATCCACAGCCATTATCTTGCATGTGAATACTGAGTTTGGAGCCAACCGGGTGATTGTTCAACCACTTCAACGCAGACAAGTTATAGACTCATGACTAGAAAATACATGCATGCAGAAACCCTCGCCTTACTGACAAAACATTATATTTTCTGAATATGAAGAATTGAAAGTAGTTGTCATGGTAACACGATAATTTTAAGAATAGTTTTAAACCTGGTTTTAAAATTGAAAAATCCCCCCAAAATATCACTTTTAATAACAAAATTATCAATTTCCCAAACATATGTATGCCAGGTATGTTATTATACGTAATAATTATAAGCATCAATTTAATGTAAAATTCAACCACAAACGCTTCGCAAAACGTTTTAAATTAAAATGTTCTCAAAACTAAACGGCCTTTTATCGAATTATCGGTAAACATTGAGTTTGAAATAAGCTGATTTCAAATTCTCGCATAAAAATAACTTTGCTTTCCTCTTTATTTAAATACTTTAATATACAAAAGAAATGGTAATTAATAAAACTACACTGAAATTATATGCTGTCTTTTTTCACTCATATACGCAATGATAGGTTTAGTTCGATATTCGTCGTATCGCCCACCACTATCAGTTATAAATATATCAATTATAAGACTAGGAGTTACTATCGCAAGGAAAGTGCTGCCGTTTGGCGACATGAACTGAATGCAAAAGAGTGTACTTCTAGACAATTCTCTAAAGGGAAGTTTACTTTTGACCCAATGCCCAATGACCAATCACAAACTTATTATTAAACTGTGAGTCTGTGTGCACGGAACACGAGTAAACAACCAACATGAAAATGAGGCCATTGGGTCAAAAGTGGATAAACGGCATACCCATTAGCTGGTAATGCACCCTACTTTAGTATTAACTCGTCTAACCCCAGACAAATTTACACTCTGTAACGCCGGACGATTTTACTTGTCAGTGTTAGAGTACT